ATATATATATATATGAAGTAATGCTAGCTCAATCTACCTGCTGTGACAGATGCAAAATCAACAAATGGCACACATCCAAAGGAACTAAAAAAAGTAATAATCTGCAATGCTGAATCACCAGTGACCATGTCTTACATGAGAAAGAAAAGACAACAAACGTTTGTTCATGCAAAAACATACCTGCACAAACAAGTGCAGAACAAACTGTACTATTTTCACTGCTTTGTGTTTTGGTAAGTGACGCTAGGTTTTTATTCTTTCTCTCAGTGATGCAGTGTATGCATTTCGTCTTACCATTTTTGTATTTTAGGAAAAAGATGGGACTTTGAGTTTCTGCCTCTGACTGACGGCCATTCCAACACGTGTTTTATTTCTCCTGCCCTGTCCAACTTTTTAGAAAACGATTCCAAAAGTGTGGAGCAGCTGTTTCCAGCTTGCAAACATTTTTTGGTATTAAAACTATTCACTTCTTTTAGCCGGAAGTATTCTTGGTGGGGAACAAGTAGAGGAAGTTCTTGGAAATCATTTGCACCCATTTAAGAGTTAAGAGAATGTGTGAGTAGAAACAGTGTTACGTATGTATATGTGTGTGTGTGTGTGTATTGAAGAGGATTAAAATAGAAACTATTAGAAATGGTGCCATACAGTGCGACATGCCTAGAATATTCAACCTATATCTCACAATAATCAAATTGTTCTTAGGTAGGTCTGAAGCACTACACCATTAGATCACTGCTAACTGTGGACACATTAGGAAAACATGATATTGTTAAACTCCATTTGTGAATTATAGCACTACTGAAGCAAAGCACTAATTCAAAACCGTTTGTAAAGACATCTGACCTTTTTTCATTGCTGGCTGTTTTACCTCAAGGTTCCAGGCTAACACACCAATATCACTGTTTCAGACATGCTTTTATATGTTGCCTCAGTCACCTCAGTTAAATAATCTGTTTTGTAAATGTTATTTTTGTGATTTTGGTTCTTGTTTTGTATTCTTAAGAAAGACCAAAAATAAAAACAAATATAAGAATAATCTAATCTGTTTCTCCCTCATTGTGTCATTTTGCGATTCTTGGCCCCGAACAGCACCTCGCTGATTAATTCATCTTTACATGAGTAACTACATAACCTCACTGTCCAAGAATGTGTATCAACCTATAAGTAGATAACTACAGTGACCGCTAATACAGTGTTGACTGACAACCAGGGCAGCCAATTAAAATGTCAGAGCTTTATAATAATGATATTAATTATTATTAGTAGTAGTAGTAGTAGTAGTTGGACGTTTGACGAAGAGAAGAAGACTGTGAAACTGTTGAAATCCAGTAGATGGCGGTAATGTGACGCTTACGGATACCAACCGTCATAAAACTCCACAGAAGAAGAAGAAGACTTCCCAGCATGCAGTTCGTCGCGCGAATTTGGATTTTGTAGTTGTGTGGTGAACACGAGAGTAACGTCACATTAATGTGTTTGTTACATTAATGTGTTTGTCTGTCAGTTGAATCGATTATAAGCCTCTTCGTGTTTGTAAGTGTGGCTCATTATCAAACCAGAGTAACGTTAGCGTTTGTAACCGTGGGGACAATGTTAGTTTGTTTACAGCCCGGGAAAGCTGTTAAATGTGCGTAACGTTACAAAAGAAGCAAATAGCGCATTCGTGTTTACTTTGAAAGCAGATAGATACAAACAATTCAGTGTTTTGTGTTGTGTGTTATGTGTAAGGTGAGCGTGAACGTTTCAGTTTTAAAACGCGTCAGTAGTGACTGTCAAATGTAATGTTATTTATTATCACGTATTGTTGTTATGTTAATCTGTAGCGAGTCTCCGAATACAAACCAGGTAACCTAAGAGGGAAAAAGGACACGGATGATAATGCGCAAAATATTGTTACTGTTCATTAGAAACACTTCTGTCCGGGTTGAAACAATGCTGAGCTCGCAGTATAATGTAGTTGTTGGACTATACATTGAGAGAGCAACATGTGTTTAATGGTGAGCTGTTGGCAGTGTCGGAGCAGTGGATGGAGGATGAGCAGCCCCGGCCTCAGCAGCGGGACTCCCGCAGCAGCTGACCTGTTTGAGGATCTGTGGAGGCGGCTGGGAGAGTGCCACCACAATGCACTGCGAGGTAACTGACCCAGGATGTACTCTCAGTCTACTCTTGCATTGTGTTTCTGTTTAACTCTCCAACACTGCATTTGTTACTGTCGTCAGAACTGGAGGCAAAAGTGGGCAAGTTGAAAAAGGAGCGCTGTCTGTGAGTATGCTTGTGTTGTAATGCGTATGGTAAAGACGGTAATCCCACCTGTGTCTCCATTAGTAACCCGTCAGTGCGTTTGTTTTCGACAGAGATGCTCAGAGACTTGAGGTGTTTCACAATCGCAACCAGCAGCTGAAGGAGCAAAACAAAACTCTGCAGGATGCCCTCGGTCTGCTGGAGGAAAGGTAACTTCCTTCACAACAGGTTCACTTTGCTAAACAACAGTGTGTCACAAAGACCACCAGCTATGTCCACTGTTTCCAGGCTCCGTGCAGGAGAATGTGATCGATGTGCCGTCTTAGAGGAGAACCTGACAAATAACCAGGATCGGAGTTTGCGCCTCATCGCCAAACTGAGTGAGTTTACTTTTTGTTGTTATTCCACTGTCGGATAGAGACAGACGACACACTACAGCTCAACACCCTCCCTGTTGGAACAAAGAAAGAGCAGGTTTATGTTCTGCTTATACACTTAGTCCAGATCCTTGAACCACCTATGAAAGAAGAAGTCAACCAACTGTAGTTTGAAGTTTAATATGACCTTTTTTTGAGCTCATAGCACAGCTGTGCCTATATACAGCCTCACAGAGCCGCTAGCATGGCTGTAAGTCCTGTTTAAATATAGACAAGGCTTTGTTCATGAGAACCCATGACATATATTACTGTATATTCTGGGTTTATATTGACTAAACAAGTTTACCACTAGATATGACTACTGGCATGTCAAAGACTGTGTGTGTAAAGCACGGTTGTGTCTCATTCGTTCCACAGAGAATGAAAGAAACAGTCTTGAGGATGAAAACATGAAACTACACGCTGAACTGCAAAAATTAAAGATGTCTCGGTAAGTCCGTTAGTGTGTTACAGTCGTCTGCTCTTTGACATTTGGAAAATGAAATGGATGGCATTTTTCTGTAAAAGCTACCTAAGACCACTACAAGTACTCGGGTAAACATACATCATAGTGGTTTCACTTCTGCTTGGAGTGCAGTTCAGGTTTCAAATTTCCTCTATACATTTCCATGGGAGGACAAGTTTAAGGCTCCATGTTTAGTGAGTTTTGAAGCTGTGGTGCTCTTCTCTGGAACGAGCATTTACAGTAAAGTTTCAGTTCCCATTTCAGTATCGCAGGTGTTCTTTGTATCAGCTCAGAGCTCCAGCGGCCCTCGTCCCCGGAGCAAGAAGAAGGCTTCATCCCAGACTCGCCGGTCCTGCCAAGCTCGCTGCCCGTGGCGAACAAACTGAAGAAGCGTAGAAATATTGACAAAATGAAGCGTGTTCGCTATGCAGAGATACCTCTGCCACAGTCTAACAACTCACTCTTCAGCGGTCAGTCTGCTTTAAAGTAACTTTCAGACTGTTTAATGCCCATCTGTTATCTGAATCACCTCTAAAATGTGTTGGTCTTTTTAAAGAACTGAATAAGGAGCCTGTTGCGAAGAATCCTGGAAGAGCAGAAGTGCTTGTACCCAACACATGTGAACTGGACGCAGTTCAAATCTCAGGTGTGACTTCCTTCACTGTACTCCTGTTATCTCATCATTATTTTAGAATGGAGAAACGTAAAAACAGTAAGACTAATGCAAAAGAATTGAAAAACTGGTGTTGGCCACCTCTCTACCCAGAGGACTGATGAACCAGGTGACCGTTCCTTAGTCCCGCCCCTTGTTGTTCTGTCTGTGTTAGAAAGACGACAACATTTTTTGCAGATGGTTAAACATATTAGTCACATCTTAAGTTAGCTAGGTAATGTTAGCAAAACACTTTCTAACTAGCTAGCTATTCTACTTCAGTCAATATCTACCGGTGAAAGCTAATGTTGTTTACATGCTAAC